TCGGCCTGTGAGGGACCAGGAAAAGTTTCCAGGTGCTTCTGGGAAGGGAGAGCCCGTGCGTCGAGAGGGCCACTGGAGTCACCTCCCTCCACACGGCTGCGTGTGGAGACCAGGCCTGGGGTAGCGGCAGACAACTCGCTGCCCCCGGAAGATCCAGAGGCCCACACACACCGGGCGGGGCATCGCTGAGCCCGGAGCAAGCCACACCTGATCTCCATCCTCTCGCCAACCATTTCAGCAACACGGGCCATTATACGCCCCTTGACTTTTGGGCCAGAGTTGGGTTTTCTGTTCATTACAGTCAACAGTGTCCTGTTGCCCTGGCTGGTGTGGTGGTTCAGTTGGTTGGAGTCATCCCATAAATTGAAAGTTTGTGGGTTCGATTCCTGGTCAGGGCACATGCCTGCGCTCAGGTTTGATCTCTGGCTGGGGCACATACAAGAGGCAATCGATTGATGTTTATCTCTCCATTAATGTTTCTCTCTCTCTCTTCCCCTCTCTGTAAAATCAAGGTGCATGTCCTCAGGTAAAGATAAAAAGAAGTGTGCTGTTGTCCCTAGGTGCCCCACCGCCTGGGCGGGGAGGGGGGCGTCCTCTGGGCTCTGGCAGCCCTCAGCTCCATCCCAGACCCCTCTGCCCGCACCCCGCACCCGCGTGTCCCCCTTGACCTCTCCCTGCATGCTGACAGCTGGGGCCATCTCTGACTCACACCTGGGTCTCAGCACTCGCGTTGGGGACGTGAGCAGCAGCTTGGTGGCCGGGCTGGGGTGGGGGTCTGTTAGGGAAGAGAACAGGCACCTGGCAGCGTCCAGCACGCGAGGCCTCCAGCCTCGCTCGCTGGCTCGCCCATTCTGTCCCCCGGGGCTGCTCAGTCCCTGAAGAGGGCACAGCAGGGGCCTCTGCTCTCCTCCCGAAGGGGTAGCAGTCTCTGGCTCTCCAACCAAACCCAGATCCCAGGCCAGACCTCCCCGCCAACTCCGGGCTCGGATCCCCCCGCTGCCTGTCCCGCGCCTCCCCCGCACCTGGAGCACCAACAGCCGCCTGCAGCTCTGAGGGTGAAATTCTGACGCCTAGGAGCCCCTGAAGGACTCTGGCTGGGCTCATCTCACGCGGCCTCCACGAGCCCCCGCCTCTCGGCTCCGGCCGCCGGGCGCCACGCCTGCCTCGGGCCTCTGCGCACTGGGTGCCGGCCGCCTGGGGCACGCAGCTGCGGGGGGGGGGGGGGGAGGCAAGTGAGCCGGAAGTGGTTTCTATTTTTATCACCGGCTCAAGCCAGTTCAATTATTCAGTTTGAATTCACATCTACCTCCTCACGGGCCTCCTTGGCCACGGATGAGGGATCCGCAAGACTCCAATACACCTACCCCCCACCTTCAGGTGCTTCTCTTCAGAAAGATCTGGTTACCGTCCCGCCAGGTCAAGCACTTTCGCTCAGCGTGGCCAGAGAGAGAGCCGCCCCAGGTCCCAGGGGAAGTCAGGCCGCTCTGACCCTCCAGCCCAGGGCCTAGTTCTGATCTGTCTCTGCCCCGTGCAGAGACCCCTCTGTCCCTCGGCGGTGCTCGCCGCCGGCCCCTGCGAGAGCCGGCCGGGTCCCGGGGTGACCAGGTGGGAGTGAGGGAGCCGGTGGCGCCTGTGCCGGCCTCCACTGCCTGCAGCTCGCCTGTGGGTGACAAATGCGCCACCCTGCCCTCCAGTGTCCCCTTCGCTTCTTTTACTTTTATGGCCAGGTGGGGAAGTTTCTGGACTCCTGACCTGCCAAACCAGTTCCTTCCCATGGGCAGTCAGTCACCAGCTCCAACTGAAATTGAACTTCCGGCTGCCCTGCGCTGTGCGGGGTCACTGGAGCCAGAGCCACCTGGCCCTCAGCCTGGGCAGGAACAGGGTCCCTACAAGTTCATTCCACACAGTCTCCTGGAAGCTTTTCCCCTGCTGTCAGGGGGTGGGACTATCACTTAAGTGCAAACACACAAAACACGCCCCGTGTGAGGCACTTTGCACAGACTAACTCCTCAGATTCTCCCAATAATCCTACGAATAGGCGTTAATGTTGCCCATACCCTTACAAGTGGGGAAATCAAGGCACACAGACCCTAGCAACCCTGCTCACAGGGCCTGCTGGTTAACGCCCGCAATGCTGACCTCTGTCCCACTGAGCCTCAGGACAACCGGCTCCTTACGACGCCCAAGGGCGAGGTGAGAGAATGGGGCCAGAGGAGCAAGTGGGGAGAGTCCTGAGCCAGGTCTGCCGCCAGGTTCCAGGGACCAGAAACCTGGACCGTGGCCAGGTCCGGCTGCCAGAAGTCCCAGGAGCCGGCGCGCAAAGATTGCCGGGGCTGGGCTCAGGACGGCATGATCACCTGCAGCGACCCCCACCGGCGATGGCATCCTTGCGGCTGTCCCCACCTCCACAGTGCCTGGCCCCGAGGGAGCCCCGCAAATGTGCCCCAGGAGGCCCGGGAAGCCTCCAGGGCCACCAATACAAGTGGCACATCATCCTGGGGCCTCTCAACCCTTTCGATCAAAGGGTTGAGAAAAAAGTTCAGTAATTCATCTGAAAAGAAACTGCAAACATCTCTCTGCGATCCCCATGCTAATTTCAGCAGCTTTGAGGGGCAGCCACTGGCAGGCTCTGGGTGTCTCCCCCGCCCCAGACCAGCCGCAGTGCCCGGTGGGGCGGCGTGGGCGCTGCAGCCACGGCACAGTGGCTATCAAGGCCTGGCTCTCCGTTCCCTGGCTCCAGGGCCAGGGAAAGTCGCTTAAACCTCCCTGCCTGGGGGTCCTCACCTGTAAAAGGGGACAGCAACAGTCCCTGCCTCACGGGGCTGACATGCATGAGGCGACCAGACATGCTGTTAGCGCTTGGCAGCCGTGACTGACGGTGCCCACGACCATTCTGGGAGAGGGCGGCCCATGGGGGCCATTTTATGGGTCAGGAGGCTGGGCCTCCAAGAGGGAAAGTAACCTGCTCAGACACTGGTCCTGTGTCCTCCTGTGCCTCCTTCTTACCCTCCTGCTGCCTCTGTGCCTCAGTTTCCCCATCAGTGAAAGAGGGTACAGTCAGGGGATGGGATGGATTGTTAAATGTCATGAAAGATACACACATCAGGCACCTCCGGGGTGGCCTGCGCTCTCACTGTCCTCCCTTTAACTGAAGCCACCGCTGATGACACACACAGACCGCCTCGGCCTGGAACTGCCTTGCTAGGGAGATGACCTACGTCCGTGGGATGTTTAGTCAAGGGAGTTTCCAGACCTTAAAAGATCTCAACGAGCCCTGGCTGGTGTGGCTCGGTGGGATGAGCGCCAGCCTGTGAACTTAAGGGCCACCGGCTGTTCGATTCCCAGCCAGAGCACATGTATGGGTGCAGGCCAGGCCCCCAGTTGGGGGCATGCCAGAGGCACCCGATCGATGTTTCTTTTGCACATTGATGTTTCTCTCTCTCTCTTTCTCCCTTCCTTCCCTTCTCCCTAAAATCTTAAAAAGAAGTGAAATATTTTTTAAAAAAATCTCAATGAGAATGACTCCGCAGGCATGTCCACCCCCACCTTACACGTGAGTTACCTTCAGTCACATATAGTCCCCCAGCCGCTGTAAGACCTCAAAGCACCACACCCTTCTCTGCCTATCGCTCATCCATCTTCCAGCTCAATGGCCCCCTCCTCCAAGAAGCCCTCCTGACCATCACAAGCCCCTAGCTTCCCCCTATCACACAGAGCAGTCCCTGTGGGCAGGGACTGGGGAAGCGGCTGTCCACAAGGACTTGCTGGGCTCCCGCTAGTGCTCTGTGTCCCTCTTCACCCTCACTCCCTGGGCCTGGTGTTGGTTTACGGAATGGATTGTCACTCCGTTAAAGGAGGAACTCACAAACAAAATTCTACAACTGTCACCAGAGCCCTGGCAGGTGTGGCTCAGTGGGTTGCGTGCCAGGCTGCAAACAGAGAGGTCGCCAGTTCAATTCCCGGTCAGGGCACATGCCTGGGTTTGCAGGCCAGGTCCCCAGTCCCTCTCTTTCCCCGCCCCTCCGTCTCCTCTTTCTAAAAATAGAAAAATAAAAAAACTGCCACCGGAGACCGTCTAACGATGTTTACTCTGGGGTCTTGAATTCGGAGCTCTCAGCTGGACAAACTCCAACACTGCGCTTCACCGCCCTCTCTGGAACCCTCGAAGCAGACTTGGCAACAAAACCTCAGAGTTTGCAGCCCTGCCCCAGCGGCCGTGTCCCCACCCCGACAAACAAGGCTCACCGGCATTCCTCCGCGCCGGCTGGCTGTCTCCAGAGGACTGTGAGACCCTTCTCCCGCCTCACACACCCGCCTCGCAGCGGGGAACCCCCAGCCGGCGCGCCACGGCGGCTGCAGGATTCTCAGGGTGGCCCCGTGCCAGGGTTTGAGACAAGGGAAAGCAGCCAGCGCCTCTCCCTTAACCCGCGACTTTGGAGCGTGATTACCCCGCTTGTTTATTTTTGGCCAGTTATCCTGCGGCTCCAGTCCCTGTGCTGAACGGGCCAGCACCCCGGGCAGAGCCCCCGAGTTTGAATCCGCGCAGCACCTGCTCTGCCTCAATGTTCTTGTCTGAGGAACGCACGACACTTCCCGCCTCTCGCCTCCGGCTGACGGTCTGCACCGTGTGCGGACGACGGGACGGGAGACCCCGAGTTGGGGGCGGGAGGAGGGGGGCCAGCGGAAGTTTGGGCTGAGTCACCCAGCCGGAGGAGACCAGAACACCAATGCAGGCGGAGGGGGAGGAGAGAGGGAGTTAAGCGGAGCGCAGGAGTGGGAGAGGCGCGCGCAAGAGGATAACGCGAGGAGCGGGCCGGGGCGGGGCGGGGCGAGGCGGGGCCGGGACCGCTGTTGGCGCCGGTCTCCGCACCGCTCCCCGCGTCCCGCGCCGCCTGTGCGAGCCCACCTGCGCCGGGAGCCTGGTCCGCCGCCGGCTCACGCCCTCCGAGCCAGGGCGGCGCCCCCGCCGGGGCCCAGGCCGGTTCCCCCCCGAGCCTTACCTGGCTGCAAACTCCGCAGGTGCCTCACCCGGGACCTGCTCCACCCGCGACTCACCTGGCCCCGCCCCGGACGTGGCTCCCGTGCGGGCCCCGCCCCTCTCCCCGCCCCCCACGGCTGGCTCCTAGGCATTTCCTAGAAGCCCAGGGTTCGGGCCCGGCTCCGGAGGCGGAGCCTGCATGTAGCCCCGCCTGTGGGCGGGGCGGGGCGGGGCCAGCGAATGCTGCTGCCCCTCGCGCCGAAGCCCCGGAGGCGCCCTGGGGTGCCTGGGTGGTGCCCGTCTTCGGCGCAGCACCGGCGCCTGGGGCCTGCCCCTTCCTTGCTGATCTATTTCCCCTTTTTAGGGATACGCAAAACCGGGAGGGAACGGGTGAGATTTTCGAGGAGCTGAGAGGACACACTCAACAAATGGCTCCCATAGTGTCTTCTGGGTCAGGTGCCGACTTCCCAGGACTGGTGGGCCCCCACAGGTTCCACGGTGGACTCCTAACCGCACAGTGGCAGGGGTTGGGTGATCCCAGAGGCAGCTCTGACCTAGGCTGCAGAGCAGGGAGGGCTTCCTGGAGAAGGAGGTGTGACCAAACCTTGGGCCTCCTAAGGGTCACTCAGGGCCACATTTCTGCACCTGGGCGCAGTCAGTCACCGTTCCTGCCCTGAGGCAGGAGTCATACAATCAGGAAGGTGAGGCCCAGACACCCCTGGAGGTGTGATTGCTGGTCCAGGGCCTCAGGCAAGAGGATGAGGTCCTCCCACAGTGCCACATACCACCGCAGGGGCCAGCGCAGTGCGGTGGAGTTCAAACAGTAGATTTGCATCGGGCCCAGGGTCTGTCACCCTCCCACCCACGTTTCTGGTCGCACCTCTCAGCTCCCTGGCACCTCCTCCCCATCTCCTGATTTCCAAAGGTCCTGGGGGGCGGGGGCGGGGGGCGTGGTTTGCGCCACTTCCCATCCTCACTTCCCTGCTCCCTGCATTCTGTGTGCCTGTACCCCGACCCCAGTTATACCTCCTGACTCCAGACTTCCTCCTCTTACTGCCCCGCAGCATCTCCACGTGGAGAGCTTCGCGGGCGGCTCAAGCTCCACGGCCCCTGCGCTAGGGCCTAGAAATGGCAAAAGGACTGGATCTTCGGTGGCCTTGGAGAGCCCTTGGATCAAACCCACCCTGATTGGCTCTATCTGTATACTTTCTCATTAAACGCGCCAATAAATTCTCTTCTTGTTTAGTCTAGTTTGAACTCTCTATTTCTTACAAAGTGTCATGTGATAAAAAAAAATCCTTATACCTTTTAAGCATCCCTGGCTGGTGTGACTCAGTGGGTTGAGCACCGGCCTGCGAACCAAAAGGTCACCAGTTCAATTCCCAGTCAGGGCACAGGCCTGGGTTGCGGGCCAGGTCCCCAGTAGGGGGCATGTGAGAGGCAACCACGCATTGATGTTTCTCACTCTCTCTTTCTCCATCCCGTCCCCTCTCTAAAAATAAATAAAATCTTTAAAAAAAAATAAAGTGCAAAGAGCTTCTCTCCTGCATGCACTAGCAGGAAAAAAAAAAAAAAAAAAAAAAAAAAACCCAGGGAGGCCTCTCACTGGCTAATCCTGAGACACATGCCCATTCCAGGGACCAGAGGGAAGTCAGACAGACCAAAACTTTATGTTCCCCAAGTTAAGACGGCCAGCTTCACAGCAGTTTTGCCAATGATAACCATGAAGTGGGTGAATGCGGGTCAGCGTTAATGGGGCCCCGAGCCCAGCACTAGGCGTTAGTTGGGACCGTTCCACGGAAGACCAGAGCCGTGAGGCTGTTGGCTTGCTGCAGTGTCCCCAGTGCTCAGTCCTGCGCGTGGCACATAGTAGGCGCCATCCCCGATCTGTCTGAATGAATGGATGGCTTCAGCTGTATTCTATCGTCACCCACGCAACTGCCTCTTCCTCGCAAAGACCCCGTTCAATGCACACAGCACACTACCATAGTCCTGTTTAGCACTTCCTTGCTCCCAAAGGACGTGGGTTGGCAAGAAAGCCCAGGGTGCTGCGTTGCTAACTGTGAACATACACACACACCTGAGCCCCTGGATAGATCAGGAACGGGCCTATGTCGCAGCCAAAACTCTTCTTCCCAGCAACTCACTGGATGGGTTTTGTGTAGAGCTTTGTGCCGGGTTCTCTTTTCCATTTGTGGAATGTAAACACCTTTAAAAAAAAGATTTTATTTATTTATTTTTAGAGAGGGGAAGGGAGGGACAAAAACATCCATGTGTGATTGCCTCTCGTGTGCCCCCTACTGGGGACCTGGCCTGCATGACGGGGAATCCAACCGGCGACCCTTTGATTGGCAGGCCAGCACTCAATCCACTGAACCACACCAGCGAGAGCAAAAATACCTTTATTTTATCATCAGTGTAAGACCAGTCTCTCAAGAAAGAGGGACAATGGTTCGGCTTTCTGTTTTAAAAAGCACTTTAGACGAAAGTAGGAGAAAGCACCTCCCCCCACCCCCGTTCGTTTTCAGCGGGCGGCGTAGTTTCGCGGTATTAAGAGACGCCAGGGGAGCGCCGCTCCCCGGGGATCTGTGTTTTGTGTAAAGCTCACACAAATTCCACACCAGAGCTCAGCGCTGCTAAAACACACGCACTGAAGCAGCGGTACGGAATGGCTGCGGGCGCCAGAAGGCAGGTGCGCCCGCAGTTCCCAATGAAAGCAGGAGGCCGCGGGACGGCGCGCGGAACGCGGCAGGCTCCCTTCGGGGCTCCTTCCCCTGCTTCCCCGCGAGCGCGGGGATCAGTAACCCGCCGGCAGCCTCTTCCCTTTGCCGCGGCCACAGCAACTCCTTGCGTTTCAAACGCTTTGCAATGGCAGGAAAACAAGGACGGCGCAAAATGAAGGGAAGGCATCTGAGTAGCTGATTCCCGCTTTATTAAATTGGCTCGCACCGTGTATATGAAGCGGGAGAGCAGGTTCTCCCCAAGCAGCAACCGCTCCCCTTCAACAAGCACCGGGGGACGGAGAGCTGGAAGCGGGAGGGAATGCAGAACCCGCCCAGGCCTCGGGCTTCTCGTTTGTTTTCTGCCAAATTAACTGCCCCGGCCAGTTGGCCAGCCGCTGGAGCCCAGACTCGGTCCGCTTTGAGCTCCGCTGAAACCACCAAACCGAGAATTTCCTCGCTGCTGCCTGTGGGCGTGGCAGCAGCTGGAGCCGAGACGTGCGGGAGACCCCGCTCCAGGCCTCCCTCCGGGGCCCGGGACCTGGGGCGCGGTCGGAGCTCCAGCGAAGGCATTGGGTTGTTAACACCAACTGCAAACCGAGCCCAACCCTGCGCCCACTCCAAGGCGCTTTTAAGATTGTTTGGACCTCATTCTTGAAGCTCTTTTGATTTGCAACCAAGCAGGCCACGCTCTTGATGGGACATCAGGATGGGACACCGGTCCTGTACTCTGGCCCCTTGCACCTTTGAAACTTTTTTTGAATTTATTCATTTTTTTTTTTAGAGAGAGGAAGCAGGGGTGAGGGGAGAGGAGATCGATTTGCTGTTCCACTTATTGATGACGGGTGCACTCATGGGTCGATTCTTGTGTGTGCGCTGACCAGGGATCACACCGGCAACATTGGCGCATTGGGATGGCGCTCTGACCAGCTGAGCTACGCGGCCGGGGTCCCAGCTCCTTGCACCTGTCAGATGCCCTTACTGGTCTCTGCCCAAAGTAGTCAGACAACAGGTTTACTCTGCCTGCCTTACAGCCAGGGCACAGACAGTGGCTTAGGCTCCCCTGCAGTGACATGCACATGTGCGGGGGGGGGGGGGGGGCCTGGAATCTTTTGCACTGGAGAGGACAGCTGCGTGATGTTCAGTGTGGGCATGGGGGTGGGGGTGTGATGTGGAGGCTGCAGCGGCTAGAAGGCTGAGCATGTGGGATGTAACTGGTACTGATGCTGGTGTCAGTAGTGGGTTTGGCCCAGTGCAACTGGAGCATCCCCGTGCGGTGGGAGCATCCCCGTGCAATGGAGCATCCCCGTTTTCCCATCAGACCTGTCTTGTGGGGTGGGTGGAGTCATTGTTCCCGAAAGTTAAGCCTTGAGCTTGGCTCTCTCATGCCCTGACAACTCTGGGAGCTCCCAACGTCCTTTAATAAGCTCCTCCGCTGCGTAGCCAGCTGGAGTCTGCTTTCATGGCTTGCAAATAGGAGTCCTGGCTGATACTGCATCCTCCTTTTTTATGCTATCCTGCCCCTCCTCCCCTTCCAAGCATAGGCTGACATAAATCCCCACAGGGAAGAGAGAAATGTCAGCATGAGGAATTCTTCTTGTGATGATGTCGCTGACACTTTACAGTTTTGTAGCATTTTACCGCTTTCTGCAAACACATCCCAGTGAGCAGAAGGGTTCTTGCCGGTGAAACCATCAGTTTATTATTAAGCCATTATCACCTTCAGGTCAAAACCCATTAAGTACTTGTTTGCCCAACACATTGTCGTCTGTGCCGAGCTACTTAATCAGAGATGCCTGCTATCTAGTTTACAATCTTAAAGCCAGCCCTGGCTCTGCCGGTCCATATAGTGCAACAGGCAAGCAGAGAAATATCACCTGTGACAGTTTTATATCTGGAAAGATCCTTCCAACAGATAGAGAAACTGAGAATGGGGTGACTTGCCCAATATCCCAGAGCCAGGAAGTGACCAATTCGGGATGACAACCCAGGGCCCGGGCCCTGCCCGTGAGGGGTAGGCTGTATGCACAATCATGTAAACATGTGGTAGGCCAAGCCAGGTGATGCTGCAGTAACAAACATCCCCCAGCCTCAGGGCCTTACAGTGACCTCGGTCTCCTCACTCAGACACGTCTGCAGCCCCCACTTCCCGTCGGCTGGAGCAGTGCCATCTGGAACACACATCACCACAGAGGGAAGGGCTCTGGGGGTCTCCATCTGGCAGTGACTGCTCTAGCTCCAAAGGGCCCGGCAACCCTTCTGCTGAGAACTCATTGGCCCGAGGGCCCCACGCACCACAAGGGAACCAGGAAGAGCAGAGCATCGTGCTTTAAGGGGCTTACCTAAAATCATGCTCCGCTGCAGCCCTGGCCGACGTCCTCTGCCCAGCAGCCTCCCCGCCTCGCCCAGCATCCCCACGGCTACCGCCCACGTCGCTGCTGGACACTCCTGGAGCCCATGGCCACAGTCCCCATGCTGGGGTGCTGGGGCCACACCCGGCAGCCCCCGCTCCCTAAGGGGAGTGGTGCAGACACCTCTGAATCTGACTCCTCCTGGAATCACATGTAAGTGGGACCCCATGGCATTTGCCCCTTGTGATTGGCTTATTTCACTGAGAGTCCTCAGTACTGTTGTAGCATGTGTCAGAATTTCCTTCCTAAAAATAAATCCATAAATTAAAAAAATAATAAAATAAAAAAGGAAAAAAGAGAAAAAAAATAAAAAAAGAAATTTTCCCTCCTTAAGGCTGAATCATAATCCATTGCATGGACAGACCACACCTTGACTAGCCATTCACCTGTTGATGGACAGCTGAGTTGTCCCCACTTTTTGGCTTTTAAAAATACAGATGCTATGATCATGGGTGGACAAGTATCTGTTTGAGTCCCTACAGTCAGTTCCTTTGGGGTACATTTAGTTCTTTTTTAAAAAAATTTATTTATTTTTAGAGAGATGGGGAGAGAAACATAAATGTGCAAGAGAAACATCGATCAGTTGCCTCTCACATGTCCCCCAATGGGGGACATGGCCGGCAACCCAGGCAGTGCTCCGACTGGGAATCCGGCCGGCGACCTTTCAGTTCACAGGTCGGCAGTCGGTCCATGGAGCCACACCAGCCAGGGCCAGTTCTTTTTAATTATACGTCAGATAGAGAACAACAAAAGGAGTCAGAGCTTTAGAGGGTGGGCCGCTGGCTCGCCCCAGTTCCTGGCCTTTCTCCCTCATGCTGGAGTCTCCCCCTTCCTTCCCTGGGGCAGCTCCCCCGTCTGGCAGGGACCCTCCTCCCTCTGATGCACCTCCTGGAAAGCCTCCTTCCAAAGACTCATGCCAGTGGGAGCAAAGAACACCCCAGGCCCAAGGACATCTGGGGTGCACAGATACACCCCAAGACAAACATTAATTCTCGGAGAAGGTGCAGTCCAGGACACCTTCCGTGCCACCTCCCCACAGCGGGACAAAGCTCCTGCCCCCATGGCAACCCTCCTCCGCCTTCCAGAACGGGCCTCGGGTCCTGTGGCCCAAGGAATGGGCCCCACCAGAGGGCTATGGAAAGTGGGTAGTGTCCCCAGATCTCTGCCATGGAGCTCTTCCCCCGCAGTGTGGTTGTATTTGGAGATGGGTCATAGGGTGGGGGCCAGACGGACAGGGTGGGTCCTGATGGGAGGGGCCCTTTCTGCCTCAAGGACAGGCCAGGGGGTGGCCGCCAGGCCAGGCGATGGCCGTGGTGAGCCAGGAGGTGGCCCTCGCTGGAGGAGGCGACCATGCTGGTCCCCTGGCCTCGGAGGCCCTCCTGTAGGCTGCGGAGATGAACTTCTCTTGCTGAAGTGCCCTGGGCGGCGGTGTCTGCACAGCCCGGAGTGGACTGTGAGCCAGGCTGCAGGACACCTCTGGTTCGATGACCTGCGGGGTCAGCGGCACTGAGGGGACAGCTCTCTGGGAGGCCAGACGGGAGGCAGCCCTTTGCTGTCAGAAGCCCGCCGGGGCGGAGAAGGTGCGTCCGAGGGACAGGGCTGAGGAGCCTGGGCCTCAGGAAATGCACTGATGCCTCCGTGGGGACAAGCCAGGGAGCCTCCCCATGTCGGTTCAGGACCTGGACCCCAGAGCCGCAGGGGGGCAAATCCTGCCAGGGGCACACAGCTGCAGGGGCGGTAAGAGCGGGTGTCGCCGGCCTGCCCAGGCGGCCTCCCCAGTTGTGTCCCGCCAAGGGTCGTGGTAGGGGACCAGGCAGGTCCTGACCCCTTCCAGCCCCCTGTGCTTTACGCTGGGGGCAAAGGCAGGGGCCAGCCCCCTTTGGTCAGGGCTCATGGCCTGGAGCAGCCTCTGCCCCCTGGGGTCCTGGCTCCTCCCTCGGGGCCGCTGGGCCCCTCTGACAGGGTGGGACAGAGAAACTGGGTAACTGCCAGTCGGACAGCAGGGCGGGGGTCTCCGACAAGCCGCGGCCTCTGGGGGACCCTGGCACGACACGCCCGGGAGCAGGGTTGACACGTTTTATTCCACCCTCTTCCGGCCCGGGGCCACCCTGGCCGAGTGAGGGCTGGTGGCTCTGAGGGTCGGGCACACAGTCACCCGCAGGCCACGCTGCGGTGTGTGGGGCGGGGCAGTGGGTCCAAGGGTCCTTCTGGGGCCTGGCCGGACGCCAGATCCATAGTCTCCACGGGTGTGGATGTGGCGTGCTGGGCGGGCTGGTGCGGGGAGTGAGTGGTGGTGGCCCTTCCATGCACATGAGGTTGACCGGTGCGCCCGGTGCCCCGTGGGCGGCAGGCGAAGACGCCGGGCCGACACCCCAGAACGGCGTGGTGCTTGGGCTGGGGCCGGTGAAAATGGTGTTTCCAACGAAGTGGGGGACGGGGGCTAAAGTGGATGAGGCTGACCGGGAGTGGACGAGTAAAAAACTCACACGCACGCACGCACGCACCGGCACGCACTCAGGCTCAGTAAAAACACCAGGCCCTCACACGAGGCTCTGGCGCCCCCTGTCCCCCTCAAACTTCGAGGTGCCAGACCCACTGCGCCGGCCAAAGTCAATGAAGATGCCTTCGGAATCCGAGTCCACGGATTCCAGGACCTGGTCCACCAGGTTCTCGGGGCTGGAGGAGGGCAGGGAGCCGCAGGCCGGGCCGGGTTCGGGGGGCTGCAGTCTGCTGGGGCAGGGCCCGGACTGGAGGCCCGGGGAGGCCATGAAGTCCCCTGCGGGGCCCTGGCCGGGCGCGTCCGGGCAGGACGTCATCTCGGAGACGGAGTGCCTGCGGATGCCGGGGCCTCCGGCCGCTGTGCCCTCCGCCTCGTGCTCGGCCACCGGGTTCAGCAGCGGCGTGTTGTAGCTCTTGGAGCGCACCACCGGGTTCTTGGCCAGGATGTCCCCGGAGCGGGAGCGGCGCAGGAAGTGCTTCTCTGCAGAGAGACAGACAGACAGGCGTCAGGCGCTGGAGGCCAGGGAACGCGGGCGGGGCGGCCCCTCGGCAACCCTGGGTGTGCCAGGCCCGTCCGCCTGCCCGGTGCCGGGGGTCTCCCACTGTGAGCACTGACGGGGCCCCCGTCCGCCTGGGAGGGCGGCCGCAGGCGAGCCCTGGCTGCTGCAGACCCCGGCCATCCCCACCGTAGCCCCCCAGGGGCGGCCTGGCCCAGCCGGGAAGGGGGTGCGGGTGCCACCCCCGCTGTCTCCTTGGTCCCAGCCTCTGAGCCTGGAGAGGCGGTGGGTCGGGGGCAGCTGGGGGGCTGCTACGCCAACTCTCCGGTTTCGAATGAGCACGTGCCTGTTTCCCCGCCTGCGCAAAGCCAACAAACATCAGCACGTGCTCCGCACCAGCACTTCCCCGGGCGGCCGCCGCAGCCCCCCGCCTCCCTGCTGGAGCCTTCAAATGCACGTGTGGCGGGGGAACAACAAAGCCACATGGGTCGTCCCCAAGTCAGGGAGTGGTACGTGCCACCGTGGGGACAGACATCAAGGGGCCCATCAACGCGAGGTCAGGGCTGGGGTTTTATTCTGAGTGTCACGGGGGGCCCCTGGAAGGTGGGAGAGGACCCCGGGGTGGCCGAGGCTGCGCAGGGGCGTTCTGATCCCACTCAGGACCACGCAGTCCCACAGAGCACCACGAGGTGGCACGGCTGAGTGTGCCCAGCAGCTGGCTTGGGTCTTTCCTGGCCAGGAGGTGAGGTGACCGCCTCAAGGCAGGGGGCGGGGGCCGTCCTTTCACCCAGGGCCACGGGGAGACCCTGTCTGGGCTGAGACATGCCTGGTCGGCAGGTGTTATACCAACCGGGGGCGGGAGTCACAAAGGACGAGGGGACACCTCCAAGCAGCTCTCATGCTGCCAACTGCTTGGTCCAGGGCGCTCTTCCTAACCCTGCCCCCAGGCCTGGCTCCCCCCGGTCCTCAGCTGGACAGTCGCCTCCCAGTTTGGACTTCCCGGAGCTTCCTGCCCGAGGCCCCATGTCACCCGGGCACAGGTCACCTTGGGCCCTTATCGGTGCGGGGAGGGGGCTGTGCACTCACTGGTCAGCCTCCCCTGATGCGCCAGGGTGGGGATTGGTCTCTCCTGAGCCCCCGGGACCAACGGCAGGCGCCGGCACGCCGTAGGTGCTCGGTTCCCATTGCTGAGTGAACTGATGGGCCGACTGGTAAAGCAGCAACAGGACTGGCTTCCGTGGACACGCCAGGCAGCCCCAGGACGCCTGCCCCACCCCTGAACCCCGCCCTGCCCTGGGGTCCTCCAAATTCCGGGGCTCTGACTTGTGCCGCATGCTGTGCCTGGCCAACGCCTGACTTTCAGGATGGAGCGCAAGCGCGACTCCCCCGGGGACACAGAGGACACTGCTGGGCTCTCAGGGACGCTGCCGTGCCCGCCCCGGGGCCTCCTTCACCCCAGGGTGGGCTGGGCGGATGGGCCCAGTGTGGCTCCCACCCCGCCCCCGGCCCAGGCGACCCTACCTAGGATGCAGGAGTGCGAGAAGGTGCCCTCGCTGGAGTAGAGGCCGTAGGTGCCCAGGTAGGGTGACACCACCTTCTGGATCAGCGTCTCCAGGCGCAGGTAGTCCTTGGTCACACCCCGGGACTCATGCACGCCCTGTGAGAGGGGGAGGCGGGGGGGGGGTCACCGCACAGCCCACCCCCATTTCCCTCACTCCGTAGGCTCCGCTCAAAGCCACCATGCACACCCCGCCCAGTGCCCCTCCCCCCCATTCCCACGGGGCCCTGGCCCCGAGGGCGGCCACACGAAGACCTCCTCCCTAGCGCTCTTGCGCGCCGAGGCCTCGTGGCCGCTCTCCTGCTCGGACACCCTCCGTGGCTGGGTCTGGGAGCCCGCTGTGCCCTGCGGGGAAGGACCCTGCAGCCGAGTGAGGTCGGGCGGTCTGCAATCTGCCCCTGGGGAGAGGGTCCCCGGGCGCTGGCTCCCTAGAGGCTCAGGGAGTCCTCCTGTGGGGACACGCTCATCCGCCGGGGTCCTGCCTGCCCTGCCCCGCCCGTGGGGCACTGCCAGTGGGCAAGGCTGCCCCGCGGGGCCAGGCCCGAGTCCACATCCAAGCTGGGCAGCCCGGGCCCCTCTGCCTGACAGCTGCCCATCCCCGCCACGTGCTCCACCCTGTGCCCCCTGCCAGGGCTCACCCAGCTCCTCCCTGACACCCCCCCTTGTCCGGAGCTTTGCAGGGGTCTCTGCCTCATCCAGTTTCATTCAAGCCAAAGCCTGAGGAACGAGGCTGCCCACCGGACAGCGCTGGGCTTGCTGATGGGGAGGGGAGGGGCCGTCTTTGAGTGCCCAGCCTCCCTGGCAGGGGGCCGGCACTGGACAGGGTTTTAGTGAGTGCTTGCTGAATGACGGATAGATGAACGAATGAAAGATGTCGCTCCTGAAGGAGCTGCCAGCAAGGGACAAGATACACTCAGGGTAATAACACAAAGTACCAGTTCAAGCCAGTGAGAGAGCCCAGCTCTACGCTGCCTTCGCCCACTTAAACTTGCGAAGGCACATGCAGATTAAAGGGAAAGCAGGGAGAAAGCTATGCTGGGCCCTTGCTGAGAAGCCAGCTGGAGGGGCTGCGTTCACTTCAGACGGGGCAGGTTCCAGACTGAGGCAGTAACGGAAGGAGGTCGGGACACAGTGATAGAGGGGGCCGTTCTCCAAGACGCCATAACAATCCTTCACATACACGCGCCTGACAACAGAGCGCAAATGAGGGGAGGCGAAACCTAACAACTGCAGGGAGAGACACAGACCTACTCCCACAGCTGAGACTTCAACACCCCTCTCGGCACGACAGACCCAGCGGCAGAAAGTCGCAGGGACCCAGCTGAACGCAACACCACCACCCATCAGCCGGGCGTCGCTGACGTCTACAGGCCAGTTCACCCAGGAACGGAAGGAGACACGCTCCTCTGAAGCTCCCATGGAACGTTTGCCAAAACAGAACATACCCTGGGCTGTAAAACAGACCCTAACAGATTTTTAAACATACAAAGCATACAGTGTCTGCTCTCAGGCTACAGTGAAGTGACACCAGGAATCAATAACGGGAAGATAACTAGAAAATTCTCTAATACATAAAGATTAAACAGCTCACGTCTAAATAACACATCAGTCAAAGGAGAAACCTCAAGAAACAGTTTAAAAGATTTTGAACTAAATGAAAATGAAAATGTAACATTTGAATTTATGAACTACATCAAAAGCAATGCTTAGAGGGAAATTTATAGCGTTGAATAGACACATTAGAAACAGGAAAGCTCGGAAGTCAATAATCTAAGCTTCCACCCTAGGAAACTACACGAAGAAGAGCAAATTAAGTCTGAAGTAAGCAGGAGGAAAAAAAAACCTCAGAGCAGAAATTAATAAAGCTGAAAACAGGAGTCAATAGAGAAGATCAACGAAACCAAAAGCTGGTTCTTTGAAAACACCAATAAAATGAACAAGCCTCTTGCCCGACGAGCTAAGAAAAAAGAAGACACACGTAACTGATTTCAGAAATGAGACAGGACATCACCGCAGGTCCAGTGGACCCAGCTGTGTTCGGACACGGAGGGGGTAGGATTCTGGGGGTGCCCGCCCGCCGGGGACCCCGACCTCCCTGGAGCTGTCTCTGCCCCCGGCAGCGGTGCCGTGGGCAAGGACGGCAGTGCTGAGCGGCGCCGGGCTCCCAGGAACTGGAGGCCACCTCGTTCCCAGAACTGCCGTGGACGCCGGGCCTCCGCCGCCCTGTGCAGAGCAGACGGGGCGGGGGCCGCGCTGTCCCTGAGCCCTCAGCTGCACGGCTGTTCCCTGGTGTCTGGGACCCTGCGAGAAGGAACTGCGCCTTCCTGGGCGAAGCGCAGGGCAGACAGTGGGTCCTCAACTACACCGAACAGCATCTGCGACTTCAGATCCATTTGGGACTTGAAAACAGTGGGGACAAGTTCCCGGGGGAGCTGGGACGAGGTCATTCAAAGTGTGGGCCAAGTGTGTGTGGGGGCGGGGCAACAGGAAAGGTTGTGGTTTGGAGTCGTACCCACCGGGAGCAGGACAGTCTGGGCGGCGGTGGGGCCAAGCTGCCTGAGGCAGTGGCCACCAGGGGGCAGCACCGCGCCAGCCTGGCCACCCGCAGGGACCAGGCTGCTGGGGCCAACGGGCAACCTTATTCCTTGGTTCCGAATCCCAGCCCCGGGGCTGCCTGCTCCCAGGAGGCTTTACAGCTGATTTCTCTCCATTATCCTCGCCCCTGCCCGGTCAGGAGGGCGGTCTTACTCCATGACACAGACGAGAAAAGAGGCTGAGGGCCCCCAGCCTCAACCCAGCCCGGGGTGACCCGAGAACCTTTAAACCCCTGCCTGCAGGCCCGGCGCCCCCGAGGCTGCCAGGCGGCCACGGCTCCCAGCAGGGCAGCCCGACCCTCCACACTCTTTGGCCCTGGAACCCAGGGCCAGCCTCATGGATCCTAATTTAGCAGGATTTCCACGCACAGGGGGATTCAGGACAAGGGGCGGGGCTTTGGAGCCAGCCAGGCCCCCGAGGCCAGGGCCCTGGGGGACTAGTTCCCCGCCCGTGAGGCGGGGTGCCCACCCTGGTCCTGCACAGTGAGGCGAGCCAGCACACCGTGGCACGCTGTGCCTGCGCCAGGGCTGGGGATGCGGCGGGAGGTCCAGGCTGCAGCAGGGGCTGCTGGTGGCCCGTCAGATCCCGCCTTGGCCAGGCCACTCACCCCCCGGTGCTGGGAGGACGTGGCCAACAGCTTGCCGCTGCGCCCGCCCCAGAGCCGCCCTCTAGGATGAAAGCCGTCTGCACCACAGATGCCGGGTCCGCTGTGGGGCATCAGGGGGGGCGGCCCTCAGCCCCCGTGCCCTACTGATGGGCACTGTAAAGACCCCGCTCCTGGCCCACGGCGGACAACTAGGGTTTTGGTCACACCACTGGGCTCCCATGGGGCCAGGCCAAGGCCATGGAACCCAGGCTTCTGCACAACTCCTCCCTCCCAGGCTCCTCCTGCCAGCGTCCCCGTTGGGGACGCTGGCGAAACCCTGTGCCCTCTCAGGCTCTGCCCCAGGGAGCCTGGCCTGAGACACACGGCCCACCCCGCGCTTGCCCGCGCCCACCTGCAGCACCAGCAGCATCTGCACGATGGCCGGGGGCACGCGGGCGTGGGTGCGGGCCAGCGCGTCCTCCAGCTTCACGCTGAGGGTGATGGTGTTCCGGAAGTGCAGCAGGGCCAGCTGGCGCACGGATGGCTCCTTGCCCTGCACACACACAATGCTGCGGTCACGACAAGGGAAGGGTGACTGTCACACACAGAGCGCCTACTATGCGCTGGGCACGGCCGACTACTCCGTGCCGCTCAGGCTTCACGGGGCCTTAGGAGGGCGCCGGCCTCGTTTCCATCTTGTGGGTGGGAATCGGGTCCTGACAGGCCCAGGGACAATGTGCTTCATCCTGCTAGGGGTGCAGGCAGCCGGTAGCGGCAGCGAGGGGCAGAGGGTGAGTCCAGCCCCAGGCTGCGCGGTGGGGCGGGGGGTGGCACGGTGGACCAGGGTCCCCCGGCCTCCGGGGCTGCTGACCTGCACCGGGTAGAAGATGGCCTGCAGAGTGGGCAGCACGTCGCTGAAGAAGAAGTCCCACGTCTCCGCCAGCGAGTCCAGCAGCTTCTGTCCTGTGGGCACAGGGAGCCGTCACCGCCTGTCCCACAGGGGCTCAGCAGCAGACGCTTCACGCCCTCCCAGGTCAGCAGCCCCCTCTCCTGGCCACAGGGCGCTTGGCAGCTTGGTGGCCCCGGGCCCACAGATTAGCCTTTCTGTGCTTCAGCTCCCCCATTAATAAAAGGGGGCAGTAGCAGGCCCACCTTACAGAGCCGATGGGACGCAAGGAGCCCGCGCAAGGCCTGGGGCAGAGAAGTGCCAGGTGCTTTGGTTCCTGTCCCCGCCATAGCGGCTGCGCAGGCGCGCGAGCGTCAGCTCACGCTCTGGTCCCACCTGACTCACCTCACCACCCCACCCGCCCAGGAGCGGAGGCCTCTGTCCACCTTACTACACTGTGCCGGGCCCGACACCAGGGACCCAGTTGAGCCCCAAAGAGACCCAGTCCCACTATGTGACCAGGAGCAAGGCACTGAACAGCCACTGTGAGGCAGGGCGGCTGGGGGCAACCTCACTGGGCAGGCGAAGACTCTAAGTCTGCGAGGAGTTCAGGCCTCGTCCTCCAGGGCCTGCGTCCCTGCTGCCTGGGGCTGCCTGCGGTGGGATCTGCGGAGCCAGGGGACCGTGTCCAAGCCTGGCAACATGCTCCAGGCAGCAGAAGGCAGAGAGAAGGTGGCGAGGGTCAGGCAGGGAGGGCTTCCTGGAGGAGGCACCATCTAAATTGATTTGGGATGGTCTGCCAGGTTGACTGACATCCTTGGTGTTTGACATGCAAAAGCAGGTGTGTGGAGGGCAGGCAGCTGGATGGCTCTGCCATCCTTTCTGCCTGCCCTGGGAAGGAGGGGTGCCGCTCTCAGGTGGACAGGGTGCCCCCTGGGGCATGGGTGCAGCTCAGGCACCCTCAGGCTGGCCCCGCGGTCGTCCAGGAAACGCCAAGTGCTGAACCTGCAGCCTTTCCACTGCAGAGCAAAGTTAGGATGGAGGGCCGCCGGGCCCTGGGGGAGCGGACCCCCCACCCGGAAGCCAGGCCAGCCACCGGCGGGGACGTGGTGGGCGGCTCCAACCGAGGAGGGGCAAGCGCCCCGGCTGGCCGCTCTCCCAGACGGCACTGCTCATGCCTGACCGCCAGAGGTTTCCATGGGAACCAGGGCCAGACAAGAGCCTTGGCCTCTCTTCTCCTCACTTTCCCCGGGCTCTGGGCCCCACTGCCTCCACCCTGCAAGGCTCCAGGCTGTGTAGGTGCTGGGGCTCTGGGAGGGGAGCCTGGCGGGGTGGCCTGGGAGGCCCAGGGCGGTCCGCCGGTGGCCAGGGGGGCCCGGCCTCTGGGCTCAGCCGTCTGCTGGCACTGGGGCTCCCTGCCAGGCGGCCAGCTCTCGGTCCTCCCTGGGGCCCACACCTGGGTCTGTGGCGGGACGGGCGGGTACTAGCAGCCCCAGGGGCTCTGCCTGAGCACAAAGGTCCCTTCAGGTCCCCACCGTCGCCGGCAAGGAGAAAGGCAGCTCAGTTCCCTAGGTCGGCCATGGGGTGGCCCTGGGCACGGGCCAGGCCAGTGTCCGCTGAGCTCAGGCCACCCTCCAGCCTCTGGCCCGGAAACACGGCGGAAAGCAGATGCTGTAAAACACGAAGTCCAGCCCGGCCCCGCCGCGCCAAGCAAGGCCGGGAAGCTGGGCTGCGCCTGCGGACCAGGCCCCCTGCTGCGGACCGTGTCTGGGGGGACTGGCATTGCGAGGTGACAGAGTCCGGCTGCACGGCCTTGCTGTGGGGCCCCAGGGGAGGCCCGCAGCCCGGGCCTGAGCACGGTTCTCTGTAGGATGGGCACGTGGCCATCCCACGCACGCAGGGCTAGAAGCGGCTACGCGGCAGGTGCTCCGGAAGGGCTGGCAGTTGTCGCGATGACCCAGGGGCTACGTCCCGGCTGATGGCCAGCAGGGTCCGGGCCGCAGCCCTGCCCCGGGGGCCGGTCAGTCTTCCTTTTCTGAGTTCGAGGGCCGCCTGCGGGGCCTGGAGACCAGAGCAGCCTGCAGCTGGACTTCGCTCCTGTCAGCCGCCCTCGTGGCGAGGGCACCAAACTGCAGCCTCGGACGGGGCCCCGGGAGCCTCCTCCTCTGGGCTGGTGCCTGGGCTCCTCATGCTTGTGAACCACGCGGCTCAGCAGTGACACTCCAGGCCTCCACGGAGGCTGGGGGCGGGGCAGGTGGCGAGGGCCGGGCTGCCCTGGGTGGGGGGGGGGGGGTGCACCCTGTCCATCAGGAACACAGGCGAGGACAAGGGGGGACGCCGGCAGCGGTCTCAAGGGCGGGCTCTCCCGGGGGCTCAGACCAAGCTGAGAGGTGGAAGGGGGCCAGACATGGCCTTGGACAGATTGCATTTTGAGCTCTTACTTGAGGCCTACTGCCTCCATGCAGTCCTCCCTGACTGCCCGTGTGGCATCAGTCCATTCTCCCCAGGGCTTCCCTGACATTCACCACACGGGGCTTTCACCATCTGGTCCTCATCTGTGCCCCCAAACGGCTGTCAGGCCCTGCTGGGCGGGGCCTGGGTCTCCTCCATTTCCAGTCCCCGGAGTCCACCTGGGGCCCAACAGGCACTGGCCACGCACGTGGAGCCCGACCAACCCTGTGGTGCTGAGACGGGGACCCTGAGGCCAGAGGGCAATGCCGTGTCCGCCCTGGGTGAGAGCGGGACCCCAGGCCGTCTGGCCTCCAGCCTGGGGCTCCGGGCCTGTCCCCGAGGCCTGGGGAGTCTGAACGGGGCTGGCACTCCCTGCTGGGTGGCCTGGCGGCCACGGCCACTGTGGGCAGGACTCTGCCAAGCTGCACAAAGCTCCCCTTCTCCGCCGATCCCAGCTCCCCTGGGCTGGGGTTGGTGGGAGGCACAGGCACCGCCGGAATGCGCCGAGTCAGGAGAGGGGCGTGGGAGGGTGTCTCCACCAGGTGCCAAGTCCTCGTCGCCTTGTCCTGCCGGCTTAGGTGCCGCCTCCTCCAGGAAGCTGGCCCAGGACCCCTGGTGGCTGTGCCTCCAGCCTGAGGCTCTCAGGCTCCTGCCTCAGGGGCTTCCACCCGACACGCACAGAGCAGGTGCAGAGGGCCCCACGGCTCCAAGTTTCCCCACAGCGCGCCAGGCCGGTGGGCCTCGGTCTCCTCCTCTCTGAACCAGGCGAACACCCTTCTGTCCTGGGCCAGAGCACAGACGCAGGGAGGCGTCCGGAGCCACAGAGAGAGGAGTGTGGGCGCACGAGCCAGGCTGTCATGTAGCAGCCACATGGCCTGGGCATCGCTGAACCCCTCCGTGACTCGGTTTCCCCAATGTTGGGTGGCTACAGCAATGGTGTCTCCTTCACAGGTTGATCCAGCAAGTTAGCAGGGTCGGGACAGAATCCAGCAGCATAGGCATGAGCCCCTTGCATAGCAGGTGCTCAGCAGACATTCACGGATCCTGAACCCAGCACGGGCCTGGCACACAGCAGGCCCTCAGCAAAGGCGCATTGGTTGGAGTGGGGTCCTCCCGTAATCTGGTGTCTTCCTAAGGAGGCACACACTGCCCGCCCAGAGCCCTGCAGGCCCAGGCGGGGCGGGCAGCGCCACGGTTCCCACGGCCACGCCTGCCACGCCGCCGTCCCTGGTACGAGCCAGGACGCCGGCAGCCACGCCAGCAGGCAGTGTGGCCCAGTGCACGGTCCCCACCACAGGGCTGCCCAACTCACCCTCATAGAAGCGGATCTTGTCCCTCAGGATCACCATGCCTTTCGTCAGCAGCTGGTTCTGGAAGACACGCACAGGGACGCTGTCACAGCCCCGAGGGAGCCCTGGGGGCTCCTGGAGGGCCACCCTGCAGCCAAGGCCCGGCTGGGCAGGGCCTCACCGACGTCCCACCTCCCGCCTGCCAGTGCCTCAGCCTCAGCTCCCCCGGGGAGGACACTGACAACTGACGCCACCAGGGGTTGTCATGAGACAGGAAGTGGCCACAGGGACAATCCCAAGAGACAGGCGGCACCTGGAGCCTCAGTGAGCGGGGCAGGCAGGCTGCCTTCACATCCCACGACAGATGAAGGACGCGGAGCCTGTGGGGCCTGTGACGAGGGCCCAGGTGGGGAACTCATCCGTCACATGAGGCTCACACCACGGGTCCCGTGCACGCTGCCCTGAACACCGGCTGAGGGGCACCGTGTGGTCTTGGCACCATTCACGGCAGCCAGGGGTGGATGCGCCCCAGGGTCCACCCACAGACAAACAAAACGGGGTGCGTGTAGATGAGGGGACAGTATATTTGGCTGCGGGAGGGACGAAGCAGGGACACCTGCCACAGCGCGGATGAGCCTCGAGAACACTGTTGGACACAAAAGGCCACACAAGGCGTGACTTCATCCCCGTGAGGTGTCCCGAACAGGAAAGACAGGACACAGGCTGGGAGTTGCCGGGGGGTCTGGGGGGAGGGGACGGGGACTGATTATAAAAGGCAGGGTTTCTGTGGGGGCGGCAATGACAATGCTGTGGAATTAGACGGCGGTGAAGGTGACGCGGCTTTGTGGGTGCATTAGAAACCACTGAACCTCACACTTTAAACAGGTGCACCGTGCGGCAGGGGGTTCACGTGTGCTCAGCGACCCTGCAGGCCTGCGGCCCCGGAAGGGGGGCTGGGAATTACGAGAGCCGCAGCGCCCAGGACAGAGGGGTCTCGGTGACGCCGACAGCCCTGGCTCAGGGCACTGGGGCTGTGGGATGGCCCAGACTGGACATTGGGGGCGTCCCTGCCATTTGAGGAGGAGGCGAGCCATCAATAACAAAGCCACCCCGAGCCCTGCCGTGTGCCAGGCACGGCGCTAAGACTTCACCTGCGTCGTATCATTAATTTCTCAACTGGCTGTGGGGCTTTGATGGGGAAACTGAGTCACGCCGAGGTGGAGTCCTTGGACCCTAGTGCTCCCCATGCCCACGGAGAACCGGGGACCCCGGTCCTTCTGGCCAGCCCGGGAAGCCGCCGGCCCAGCTGGAGCGCAGGACCACCCACCTGCAGGCACTCCGTGAAGAAGGGTCCCAGCTCTGTCTTCAGCAGCTGCCTGTGGGTGGGAGGGAGACGAGAGTGAGGGAGGGTGGGAGTCAAGGGGCAGCGGGGGTCCCAGGCGCTGGACTGGGGGCCGGGGGTTCCAGCGGCTCAGCCCGCCGTGATCGCTGGGCATGTCCGCCGGCCCCCGCACTGCAGGGGGCTGGGTGGGCGACGCATTTTCATCACCCACAGCTGCAGCTCCTCAGCCCCACCCCCACATTTCACGCAAGAGGAAGCTGAAGGGTCTCCAGGGAACGAGCGCAGGCGGGGGCCACAAGCGGCTCACACGGTCTCGGGGGGACACCTGGCAGGGCCAGGCCTCTGACACCCAGCCCCGCCCCTCCCACCTCCCCCGGCTCAGAGCCCCAGAGAGGCCTGAGCCCTGGCACCTCCCTCCCTGTGGCCTGAGAAGGTGCAGCAGGTTCGGGGGTCGGCTGGGGTCATGGCCGGGCCTCAGAGCACACGGCAGGTGCTCAGTGGGGTCCTCATGCCTCGCCCCTGCCCACCGTGTGTGAGTGCAAGTGTGAGCACGAATGAACGAGGCGGTGGGGGAGGGGGACCGAGGGGCAGGAGGGGGAAAGGGAGGGAAGGAGGGAGGCTCCCTGCAGGACCCAGCAGCCTGCAGCTCACCAGGTCCGGCAGGCAGAGCGGGCTCTGACGGAGCCTGCCCGGGGCGGCTGCGCCCCCGGCCGCTCCCTGCGCCTCCTCTGCCGTCTCCTCTCAGCTCGGCCCTCGTGAACCTCTGGGCAGCGGCGAGCAGTGCAGCTGGCTGAGTGCTCCCCGGCGTGGCCGTGCCATGGGCCCTGCCAGCCGCTGAGCGGGGCGCGAAGGTGGACTCTGGAAGGGGCGGCCTCTGAGCCACACCGTGGGCCCTCAGGTCTGTGCTGTCCGCAGGGCGGACGGTGAAAGGCCAGTTTGGCTGGGAATACAGCCAACGGTCTTCCCACCGGCCTCCGGCGCCGACACACAGTAGGTGCTCACGAACGGAAGCTAATCAATGCGGCTTCCAGGACCCCTCAGAGCTCCCCTGCCGATTCTCCAGGATCCATCGGCAGGGCCCTGTGCCGTGGGATCCCCTCCTCCCTGGCCCATGCGCACGGGTGTCCCTGCAGCCAGGAGGAGGTCACAGGCTGACTCCTGCCCCCAGCCCTGCGTGGCGGGACCCACGTTCCTGCTGCAGGTGCGGAAGCTGAGGCTCTGGGGCCTGCTCGCAGGCGGCTGAGAGGCTGCCCAGCCTGCGCGGGCAGGTTGCTCACTCCCTCAGGGCAGGAAGGGGGCCCCACGCCGTGCATACTGGGAATAAAGAGACACCACCTGGGGGCAGGGCTGCGGGGGTGACAACCTGGGTGTCACCAAGCAGAGAGAGCCACAGGCAGGCGCTGAAGGGTCGGAAGGCAGAGGCCCCAAGTCCCCGTCTATGGGCCCAGAGGGTCTACTGGTTCCTGGGAGCGGCCGGGCTGGCGGGACCCCGCGCGGGAGCTGGGGCGGGACGGACCACCCGCATCTCAGCCAGGAGGCGCCTCTCAGGACCACAGCCGGTGGCAGTGCTCCTGCCTGGCCTGGCCTGCAGGACACACGAGAGTCTCACGGTCCAAGGAGACCAGTAACTGTTACACCAAATGCTGGGGCAGAGCCTGCCCTAGACAGACGTCCAGGCTGCAGCTGCGGGGACAGGTCATGCAGAAGAATCCAGAATGCAGAGCAGTGAAGGCCACTGAGCCCGGAGCAAGTGGCCTCAGAATCTGTTTAAGAAGATGAGCCACGTGAAGGGCCCTTCGATGGCAGTGCCACCGAAACCATCGAGTAAAAGGAAGGCTGGGTCCTTGAGCAGGCGCCCCGTGCGACCCAGAGCACCTTATTCTCCCAGGTTTTCCTCTACCTGGAAAAACCATTACGGAACTACATCCAGGCTCGCCCCTCAGAAGAAAGGTGGTCAAGGGAAGGGGTCCAGGAGGGGGAAGAGCTCTCACACACTCGACGAAAAGAAGACAGAGGACCCAGTGAAAGGATGGGCAAAGGGTGTGAACAGACATTCCTTGCAAGAGACGCAAATGGCCAACAAGCACCTGAAAGATGCCCAGCGTCAAGTCATCAGGGGACAGCCAATCCAAACCACGAGGTGGCATTTCACCCTGTCTCCCAGCACCATTAGAATCACAGAGCGAAGAGTAACAGGCACTGGCAGGAACGTGGAAAGACTGAGTCCTCACGCGGGCTGGCCGCTGCGGCGGGCAGGCGGGCACCTCCTCACCAAGCCAGCCACGGCGTCACGATGCGACCCAGCGGTGCCGCCCCAGGTAGAGACCCAGAGACAGGGTTATGTGTGTGTGTACACAACACCCTGCCCACGACGTCACAGCCCCCGGGGGAAAACAGCCTGAACGTCCACCAGCAGATGAGTGGACAAGCAAAAGGGCGTGTTTTCCCCCCAATGGAGAATGACGTGGCCGTGGAAAGGAACCGAGTCCTGACACACGTCCCGACGGGGACGGGCCCTGAAGGCACTGAGCCCAGTGAAAGCAGCTGCGGAGGCCAGGTGCGGGCCGAGTGATCCCGTTCCCACCGAGTGTCTGGGACCGGCAGGTCCCTCCAGACGGACGGCTGCCTGGCACTTGCGGGGGCCGGGGCAGGGGGTCCCGGGGAGGGATTGCTAATGGAGACAGGGTTTTTTGTGAGGGGAGTAGGTGATGAAAACGTTCAGGATAAATAGGGTGGCGGTTGTCCAAACTTGTGAGTAAACTAAAACACTGAACTGTACATTTTAAAAGAGTGAATTACATCTTAAAAAAATACATGGACAAAATGGGGGGGTGGGTGGGAGGAAGTGGTGGCGAGATGTCAGCGTCCCATTACCAGTCACCACCTCGGCTGTCCCTGCGCCCGGGCACGGCCTTGTCCCACAGGCGAGCTGCGGGAACAGAGGGCAGTGTCGGGCAAGGGTGCAGTCCACGGCCCCAGGCCCAGGGCTCTGGTGGGATCGAAGCTCATGACCAATGATGGATTTAATGCGCAATTAAATTCACGTAACGTAGCGTGGCCATGGGACGGCGGAGAGCCGGCGCGGGGGCTGCCCTGAAGGACCCGGGGGCCCTGAGCCAGGGGCCTCAGTCCCGGCTTCACGAGCTGCCCATGACCTCCCTGTGCCTCAGTTTCCTCATCTGTAAAGCGAGATAATGGGGTGCCCGCTCCTCAGAGGTGCCGGGGAGAGTTTAAGGCGTGTGCGCTCAGGGCACGAGGCCGGCAGAGCAAACTCTCAAAAGACAGGCCCTGCTGTCGATACTCAACGAAGCCCAGCATTTCATTGTGAATCAGCTAAAAAGTTGCTTCCCCAAGTGACCTATCCGGCCAGGAGTGCCACGTCGCACGTCGCCTGAGCTCTGCCTCTTCCTGGGTAAAAGGTGCCGGGGCCGAGGCCCAGGGCTCCATTTCTGCCCCTTCCCACTGCCCGCGCCCGCGCCTGAGGGAGGCCGCCTGCTCTGCGCCGTCCCTGAGGGCCACTGCCGGCCCGTGGCCTGGGGTTACCGTTCCCTCCCCTGAGCTGTGTGCGGCCAGCGGGGAAGGGTGTCGACATGGCTGGAGGGCTGTCCCTGGCGCTTTGCTCAGGAATTCAGAAATACTTCCTTATGTTCTGTTGTTTAAACATCTAGCACATTCCTTAGACTTGCAACAAACTCCCTTTTCTGTCAGCAGACCAGACAACGGGGACGCTGCGGGCCCCACAGAGGCTTTCGGCGGCTCCTGGGGCCGCACCCCGGGGTGGCCGGACGAGCCCAGGGAGAGCCGGGCAGACCACACGTCAGGCCTGGCAGGCGCCCAGCTCCCGCTCTCGCGGCGCCACCAGCCCCTCTCCCTCTCCAGGCCTCAGCTGTCAGCGGGGACCCTTTCAGCTCTGCCGCTCCGGCGTGGGGAGGGCTTGCCCTGCCCCAAGTAACCTTTTATTCCTGCCTGGCGCTGATGAGAAGGTTTGCTGCCTATTTCTCCCGGGGCGGAAGGGGAACAGCTCAGAGGCGACACACGCCTCGTGTGGCAGCTGTGTGACCCTGGGCAAGTCTCTTGACCTCTCTGAGCCTTGGCCGCCTCCCACTGCACAGCAGGACCGCGGCAGGCCTCGCAGGTTCCCTCGAAGCCGAAGCCGGTCCGCCAGGGGCTCCTTCCCCCTGCTCATTCCGCAGCCGCTCACAGGAAATGAGGGGCATGCGCTGGCTGTAATGGCTTTTCCGGAATGACACTCCCGTCATTAGGCAGGTGGGTCCTTCCTCTCTAACAGAATGATTATCTTTCCTGATGCTTGACACCACCAGCCGGGAATGTGGGCGTTTTCTTGAGGCACCATCCAAGTCTCCCCTTGTTTCCCTGCCCTCAGGCAGGGAATGATGTCCTCAGGGGGGCTGGTGGCGAAGGCCCACCAGGCCCGAAAGCCACGTAACGGGTCCACGTGGCGGTCGCCGCAGGCTGCGGCTCTCAGGGCACAGCCCCCCGGTGGGGCTGGTGGACAGGGGGCCCGGCCTGGGCCTCCCGCTGTGGCACATCCCTCCCTCCCTCTCACAGACCTGGGCAGGGACGGGACGGGGCGGCCACTCACCGGACTCCTTCGTTGAGGCTGAAAAGCTCCTGATCGGGCAGGCCCTTGCGCTGGAAGACGGCGATCACCCCGTTGTGGATGCTGCGGGTGCGGAGAGAGGAGCGCTGTGTCCAGTCGCCCCGGGACCCCTCCCGCCTGCCCCAGACCCCCCTTCGGCCCGCTCTCCGCTGCAGCCTTCCCGCTCAGCCCAGGGGATGGAAGGGCGCGGTCAGAGGCAGGGCGCCTGGAGACCAGGGATCGATCGTCCCTGTGGGACCCTCGGTTCCCACCTCAACTCCAAGGTCCTGTATCCCCATCTCCGTGTCCCAGGCACTTCCCAGTCACCTCTCCAGGATGTCCTGTGTCCCCCCCCACACACCCTGCTCCCCTTCCCCTGCTCTTGAACCCGTCAAGCCCAGGCCGGGGGCTGGGGCCACCCTCTGATGGCCCCAACGTATCCAAGCCCACTGATGTTGTCACCGGGCTTCTAGGTGGCCCTGCTAACCCCTGCTGCCCCGCTCTGAGCACCAGGGCCCTGTGGTCCGCGCCGACCCTGCTGGGGAAGCTGCCCGCAGCCACGGGGCTCCCGCAGGCCCCCACCCTCTTCCACCCATCCGCTGCTCCCTTCAGATCACAGGTGGCCACCCGCTTCTGTCAGTGTGGGTGTGCGTGTCTACGTGCGATTTGTTATAGCGGTTTGCTCGTCTCCGCCATCGTTACGAAGCGCGAGAGCGGGGCTCCAAGCTGCTCAGGGCAGCACGGCAGCACCCGGCTCACAGGGGCAGCGAGGGGACTGCCTGGTGGACGTCATCCTGACCCCTCGCCCTCCCAACCCGGTCAGCCCTGCCTCCTGGGTCTCCGCGGCGCCCCTCCCCTGCCCTCCGGCCCAGGGCCCCTCCGATGACACCTGCCTGCCGGCTGCCCCGCTGCACCTGCTGCCCAGCACAGAGCAAGGCCTGGGCGTGGCATCCAGGGCTCCTCGGGAGCAGCCCTTCCCTGCCCTCCTGGGCACCCTGCACTCCAGTCCCCCGGAGTGCAGGGCCTGTCGGGGTGCCACACCTCTGGGCCTTCGTACCCACCGCCCCTTCTGCCTGGAGGACCCCTCTCCTCCCTGTCTCCAAGGCAAGCAGCTAGTCCTACCAGAGCCTCCACTCAGAGGCCACTGCCTCCAGGAAGCCCTCCTAACGCCCTCCCCATTCTGCGTAGATTTGTGTTCCAGCACTTTACTGATTCCCCTTCCTCACAGTCCCTCCCACTGGCCACCGGCTCCCAAGGGTGACAACCAGGTCCCACTGCCCTCCACCCAGCACCTGGCTGCTGCTCGCATGGCCTCACGCTGGCTGTGTGACTCTTGGTGCACAGGGGACAGCTGGACACGTGCCGCCGGTCACACCCCAGGGCAGGCAGTGGCCAGCGAGCTCCCAGGGCCCCTGCCTGCCTCCAACAGCTCCGCCCTCCCGGCCACGGGGACTGGCCGCCCGCTTCTCGGATGAGGAGGCCGAGGCTGGGAGAGGCCAAGAGCCCTAAGGGGGCCGCAGGTCCGGGCAGCGTGGGCACGCGCCCAGGCCCCATGGCGGGCCCGAGCTGAGCCACACGCTGTGGCCCCACTGGACACCTGTCCCCGGCCCAGGGAGCCCGGCTCTTCTGGGGCCTGGCATTGGCACGGACACGCACCCTCTAACCTGGTTCCTGTCTGTGGAACAGGGGCCACGGGCCGCCTGCCCCGGCCTCAGCGCTCGGTCACGGCTGGGGTCATGCTCGCCCGTTACAAGCCCCGGGTGGACACAGCTCCCCGTCTGCGCGCTGAAGAAAGGTGAGAATCTGACGGGAAACCTGTGGCCGCCAGGAAGCCAGCGGTCCACGAGCAGCCGCCCCCTGGAATCCTGACAGCTGGGAACTCTCTCAGCCTCGCGGGGGCTGCCCCCCAGCCCTGTCGGCCTGGGGGCGGGGTGGGACCGGGAAGCCTCAGTGACCGCCCAGGCCTGGCGCTGCTGTTCTCAGGGACCTGCTCCTGGCCGTCTCTGTGCCCTTCCTCTCCTTCCCTGAAACCTCTCGGAGGGACCCCAGCACCCCCTGGCTCTCCCCCGCACCCCCGCCAGGAGCTGACCTGACACCAGGTGGCTTTGAGTGACGAGGCCGGCAGCCTGGACCCTTCTGTGATTCTTGCCCCACCTCCCCCCGACCGACCCCCTGACACCCACGTCCCTCCTCCCGCACACCTGCGCGGGGCAGGCATGCAACTCCATCTCCTTTTTGGTGAGGGGAGGTCTATTTGGTTTATGCTTTAGCCTCGACCTGCACCCCAGCCCCGCGCCGCTGGGGCAGTCGCGGTCACTCACGGAGGACCTATCTGTGGGTGAGCGAGGGAACACCTCGCGTGGCTGCCCCGCCCACACGGCCGCCTCCAGCCTCCGCCCAGGCTGGCCGGGGGTGGGGGTGGGCTTGGACCCCAGCTGCGGGCCTCCTGGCGCTCAGCCTCCCCGTCCACACAGTGGGCTCATCATCGCCGCCCCTAGAGGGGTCCATGCGGGGAGGACGCAGCGCCGGGCGGGCTGTTTGTCACGGAGCGGGTCAGCAGGGACTCTCGGGAGGGGCGTGGCCCCAGAGGCACCCGCCACAGCGCAGCCATCCGCTCTGCGGTTTTCTCCATGTCTTCCTTCTAACCGCCACACGCGTCGGGGGCTGTCGTGCCCAGGCCACGAGCCCTGAGGCTCCGCGAGGCCCAGGGGCCGCCCCGAGGCGCGCAGTCTTATCCTCAGCCCGGGGCCCCTGGCCCCCGGCCCGCAGCCCCTGCACCCCACCCTGCCCTGCCCAAACGCGGGGTCGGGGTTAGCGTGGCGCGGGGGCGGGATGGGCGGGCCCGGCTCCTTCCCGTTTCTCTCCAGCTGAGGTTCCACGTTCTTCCCGAAGTCCAAGTTGGGTAAACAAGAAAACCGAGCTGCCAGCCACGGGGGAGAGAGGAAGGGTGGGGAGGGTGCAAGGGCCGCACGTGACTTCTCATCCCCCCAGAATAGAAGTGAAACCCAGCTGTTCTGGCCGCGGCCTCCCAGCCAGAGGGGCAGGGCCGTGGTCCCCAGGACACAGCGGGCGGCCTCCGGGGAGCTTCCAGGAGAGAAACCCTGACCCATCACCCCCTCCTCCTGTTGGGCGGTCCCTCCCTTCGGACCCAGAGAGGAAGGGAGGCCGGGCCAAGTCCCAGCCTCTCTTGCCTGAGCACTGGGTGGGCGAGAGGGTGATGTGCAGGACCCTTGGGAGGCTCCAGGGCACCCAGGAGGGCCCCAGGCTCACGGCCTCCGCACGCCAGGCCTTGGAGATCTTCTCAAAGGCTCACCTGCCCAGGTAGGCAGGCACCTGCTTGGGCCTGACCCCGCTGCCGCCCCACCTTGACAGGCTGCAGAGGAGACTGTGGCATGGCCGTGTTTTCCCATGGCTTCCCGAGCCTTACATTCCCACCTTCCGAGCCATGTGGGTGCGGGCGGTGGGGGCCCAGGGCTCGTGGTGGGAGGGAAGCCCAGCGTGAGGCTGGCCTGTGGCTGCCGTATCAGAAGACCACAAGCCTGGTGGCTTAAAACAAGCTGAAGTTGTTCTCCTTGTTCTCCTACAGCTCTGAAGGCTGAAAAGTCTAAATCAGTGTCACGTGACTGAAATCGAGGTGTGGGCGGGCTGGCTCCTTCCGGCAACTCCAGGGCAGGACCTGTTTTTCTGGCCCCCCCAGCTTCGGGGGCGCCTGCACTCCTTGGCTTGCGGGCTCCTCCTCCGCCCCCAGCTTCTCTGCTTCCACCCTGTGTCCCGCTCTCACAGAGACCCTGTGATGACACCGGGCCCACTGGGTCACCTCCCCATCCAAAGACCCTTCACTTAATCACATCTGAGAGGCCCCCTTTGCCTTGCAATGAAACGTAGACACAGGTTCCAGGGAATCGGGGTGCGGGCGTGTTTGGGGGCTATCACTCTGCAGACCACGTGTAGACGGCCTCAGAGGGCAGGGGCTCCATGGCCCCCGACCCCACTCTCAACCAACCGGACACCTAGAGGCCTCAACCAACCTCCTCCGGCCCCTCAGAGACCCCCATGGCGGCGGAAGCACAGGCTTTGGAGTTAGACCCGGGCGATCCCTGTGACTCTCTGAGCCTCATCGGCAGGGTGGGGGTTGTGAGTCCCACTGGAGTTATTCCCAGGATGAAAGGAGCTCCTCCCACCTGAGTTTGGACGGAGCAGCTCCATCTGGGGGACAGGGTGTCATGGCTGCTCGGTATTGCTGAGATCGGGGTGGGGGACGCTCTGTGGGGGTGGGAATGGGGCGGGGCAGACCCCAGCTCACCCCAAAAACCCACTTCGCCTTGGAGTGCCTTCAAGTCGACCTGGGTTCAGACCCCAGAAATTATAAGCTAAAGATGGTCACCCAGCTTTGGAGGCAGTTTTGTGGGTAGGGTGACAAATGTCACTGGCCCCATGTGGGAGCACCCTCTACCCTGCTCCTGCCTGGCTGGGCACCCCCATTATAACGTCTAGGTGCGGTGGGCACTGGGCTCTTGAAACCTCAAGCGTTCGGGCAGATGCCGGCCCAGCGAGGAGTAGGGCTCCAGAATCGTCAGCACCCACTGACCCAAACGCAGGCGCAGGGGACCAGTGCTGGGGTCCGGGGAGCTCCCTCCACCCTCATCTCAGATCGTAACCTTCACGGAGCTGGAGGCCCCATGCACATGGGCCCAGGTCCTGAGGAGGGAGGCCATCGGGGACTCCAGGGGGGACTGGCAGGTGGGCCTTCTACCCTTGCCCCGCCCCCCAGCCTCTCTGCAGCCCCCGCACCGGCTCTGCAGGGGAGAAAGCTGTCTGACAAGCACCTCCTGACCGTCCTAGTCTAAGGCGTGCAAGGGCAGCCCCGGAGGCGGCCAGCCTGGCCCCCGCCGCTCGCTCAGACGTCTCCTGCACACCCACGGGATCCACGTTCCTGGGGCAAGAGCGGAACACGGGCTGCCAGCCGCGCGTGGCCGGCGCATGGGTGCCCGTGTTTCTCTCCTTCCCGGCACTGAAGCCGGCCTGCGGACACCGGACCGGTTTACTGTTCATTTCCTGACTCCCCAGTGGACTTGAGCTCCCGGAGGCTGTTGACTCTTCGCTGACTTTACGCCTCGGGCTCAGCCCAGTGCTGGTGAGTGAATGAGTGAATCAATGACTGGCTGGCTAAACGCGTGCATGAATTCCATCCTCGCAAGGACAAGCTATGTATTCTTTTGCCCAGGCCCCACATCCAGATGAGGAAACAGAGGCACAGGGAATTTAGCGGGTGCGCCCAGGGTCACTGTAGGGGGTTGAACAGTGTCCCCTAGAAGGCCAGGGCCACCTGAAATCTCAGATCTCACTTGGACACAGGGTCTTTGCGGATGTCATCAGCTAAGGATCCTGAGATGAAATCATCCTGGATCTAGAGTGGCCCTAAATCCAATGACTGGTGTCTTTATGAGAGAAAAGAGGGAGGTCTGGACACAGAGACATGGAGGAGAGGCCATGGAAAGATGGAGGCAGAGGCTGGAGTGGCTTGGTCACCAGTCAAGGGTTCCCCAGGAACTGGGAGAGGCAGGGGGACCCCCCCCGCCCGGCCACAGAGCCTCTGGAGGGAGCACGGTCCCGCCAACACCTTGAGTTTGGGCTTCTGGCCCCGGAACCAGGAGGGAATAAATTTTTGCTGTAAGTCACCCGGTTTGTGGTGCTGGGTCACAGTGGCCCCAGGACACTAGCGTGGTCACACAGATAAAAGGGAGTGCACCTGGGACTCAGCCCAGCAAGGCAGGACCCACCCCAGCCTGTCCTGGCGCAAACACGGCTGCTGCCCTTCGGGCCCGGCAGGGAGCACCGCGAGGACCCGAAGGGGCCCTGGCCCCCACCGTTGTCACTCAGGGCCCTGGCAGAAGGAGCTTTGCTCCCCTCTGGGCTCAGGGCCCCCTTGGCCGGGGAGGAGGGAGCAGGACGCTGGCTCTGCCATGTCCTACACGGACAGCTCTCCTGGGGCCGTGGGACCCCTCGCACCTCTCAACGGGGAGAGGGGGGTAGCGACAGTGCCCTCCCTGGGCTGTAACGGTGGCAAGTGGGCCAAGGAACAGGAAGGGGGCTGGCACATGGCTGGAGCGCAGGGCGGAGGGGGAGCGGACAGGGAGCCTGTGGGTGCGAGCAGGGGCGTGCTCCTCAGCGGCCTGCCGGGCCCAGGCACAGAACGGAAGGTCCAAAGCCCCCTTAAGTAAAAGACGGCTGGGGGACCCTGGGGGGCTCTCCTGGAAGACTCGGAGCTGGGCCTATGGTGCCCCCACCTCTGTTTGGGGGGCCCCAGCAGGTCTGACCACAAACGGTGCTGCTCGCGAAGATGTAGTGGATGAAAGCTCAGGAACCAGCCCCGGCTGGTGTGGCTCAGGGGACTGACCGCCGGCCTGCGAATCAAAGGGTCACCAGTTTGGTTCCCAGTCTGGGCACATGACTGGGTTGCAGGCAGGGTCCCCAGTAGGGGGCGCACGAGAGACAACCACACATGGATGTTTCTCTCCCTCTTTCTCCCTCCCTTCCCTTCTCCCTTTAATATAAACACATAACATCTTTTTCCTTTTTAAAGAAAGCTCAGGAACCAGCAGACTGCGAGGAGCCCCCCACCCCACCCCGACCCTGCCAGGCCCTCCCCGGCACGCATTCAGGCCTGAGTCGTGCGTTTCAGGGGACCCACTGCATGCTGGGCACTGTGCCAAGGGCTTCAACACCCGTCCTCACACTTAATCCCCGCAACATCCCTGGGAAGGGGGAGGTACGCTTGCCAGCCCATTTTATAGGTAAGGAAACTGAGAGCCAGGAAGGGCTCATGACCCAAGGCCCCACAGCAGGGACGAGGCAGAGCTGGGGCCTGAGCTGGGACGGCTCGGCGCCTTCCACTGCACCACAGCAGAGATGCAGGGAGGAGGAAGGCGGCTTCTCCCCCTCAGGCCTGCGAGAGGGGGCGCGGCTGTGAGACAGAGGGCAGGCCCTGGGTGGGCGAGAGGCCCCAGCGCCCTTCTCGCCCGGTCCCGCGCGGGTCCTGCAAGGAGGAATGTGCATGTGCCCGACAGACAAGGAAACCAAGGCAGAAACGTCCCAGCCCCTCAAGCATGCGCAGCTGGGTAGGGGCCAGAGACAGGCAGGCGGGCGCCAGTGCCTTGCCTGGTGCACGGACGAGGGTCCCGCGCTGGCAGCCCTGTGCCCACCATGCTGCTTGGGGAAGCCTGGCCAAGACCACAGCCCGAGGAGCACCTGGCAAGATTTCACTGCCAGGTGGGGGGGGGCAGCATCCACAGCACCCCCCCCCCCCCCCCCCAAACAGCCAGCCTCACTCTCTTCTCCTCCCTTCCCATTTTCCTTTGGGTGGAAATATCTATTTTTGAAAAGGGCCAATGAGCAGACACGCTGGGGAATCCCACTAAATAAACGGTCTCTTTTCCGGATCCCAGCCTTGCTCTTCAAACAAAGCTGGGTGGCGGGGGGACTTCCCACGCCCCTGCCTGTCTGGGAGCGGCCCCTGGCGGAGGGTCGTCTAAGGAATGCCGGGCAGCTGCTGCATCCCTGCGGACAGCTGGGAGGACAGGGGGCCGCTGGAGGGAAAGCCACCCGCCGCCCCCGACCTCAACGCAGAGGCAGGAAGCGCAGCAGCAACCTCCCGACTGCGCCCGCGAGGCTCATCGGCTCATCTGCGAAATGGGAAAAATACTTCCTGCTGTATTATCTCCCGGGTTGTCATGAGGACTGGATCGGAGACGTGGGAAGACCACGAGCGGGCGGCCGGCACGCGGGCCCCCGCCCACCCCGCCACCCACGAGCCAGGCGCTTCGGGACCAGCCCCGGGTCCTCGGACTCGTCCCTCCGTTCTAGTAACACGTTGCACTAAACTTCCCTCCCCGCCCGTACAAACTCCAGCGGAGCAAGTTCTTGCAAATAGTGAAGTGCCGCGGTGCCCCCGGCACTGTTCCTCGCAGGGGCCCGCCCTCTACCCCTGACCGGCTCGAGGGCTCCCCCTCCTCCGGCTCTGGGGCCCCGGGCCCACAGGCGGGCCGGGAGGGCGCGGCCTTACCTGTTCCAGGTGGCGTTGGCGCAGGCCCGGCGCTGCTGCGTGCCCCGCTCGTCCGCGGAGGCGGCGGCCGGCTCTCTCTTACCCAGGTCACTGAGGCTGGGCGAACTCATGAACTTCAACCTGCGGAGAGTCCTCATGGTGACCCCAGCGGCTCGTTCCGCGCCCACGCGCGATCGGCGCCGCGCCCTGCGCCACGCCGCGCCGCGGGCCCCGGCCGGCGCTGCGCTCTCTACGAGGAAACTTGGGAGAGAGCAGGAAGCCGAGCGGCCCTCTGGGGTCCCGCCCCGGCCCCAGGCCTCCGCCCCGGGCCCGGCGCCGGCCAGCCCTCCGGGTTAATCATTGCCCCGAGCGGCTGCAGCGTGGAGTGCCTGGAGCGCGGCGGGCAGCACGGACCCGGCGCAAACAGAGGCCGGGGGCGTGGTCAAGGGCGGGGCTTGGGGCCGGGGGCGGAGCAGGGGAGGCCCCGGGTGCAACTGGAAAGGGGGCGGGGCTGCGAGAAACCGAGGCGGAGCCTTGAGCTTGGGGCAAGGCCCGCTCCTCCGCCTCAAAACCCCCGGCGTCTGCCCCGCTTGGGTCCCACTAGACCCGCTGCGCTCTCGCAAAGGCCACACCTGCCCATCGGAAGCCAACACGCGCGGTAGGAACCACCACCCCAAGCGCCCGCCCCGCCCCACCACTGCGGGCACATCCACAGGATGCTGCTGCTTCGCCACTCCCGTCCTCCCATCCCCTAAATCCCCTCCTCTGCGATGCCTCGACCAAAATCACCCCTCCTCCCTGTCCCTCCCCACAAAGGCTGTGTCCACACAGATCCCTCCGCATCCGGCCACCTGGACACCTTTGTCCCCATGGTTCTCCTGAAGACCTAGGCAAAGCCTTCAGCCCCCTGGGGCGCCTCAGGCCAGGAGCCCGCCCACCCTGGCGACTCTGCACGGCCCCCTCCTGCCTGGTCCTGGAGGAGTCACCAGATTGGGGGTGTGGGGGAACCGGGAGTGGCCTCCGCAGCGCAGAGCCCTGCAAAGCTGTTGCTACCCCTCCCACCCCAGGTCTCTGGGAGGATAAAAGCAAGCGGCTCCCCGCAGACCCCGTGGCTGGTGGAGAGTGATTCCGAGCAAGGAGCCCGCGGCCGGAGGTGCGCACAGCCCTTACAGATGCTTGGCCTCAGGCCCCTCCAGCCCCCTACGGGGCAGGAATCTCCTACTTCCCGGCCGAGGAAACTGAGGCTCAGAGGGTGGGCTAACTTGCTCAGTGTCATACAGTCAACAAATGGCAAAGCTGGGCCTAACCACCCAGGCCGCAGGAGCACATGGCACAGACCCGCCCCCTTCCCCTCCCCACTTCTGAGATTCCCACCGCGTTCACCACCCCCTGCCCCTGCTCTGCCCCTGCCATCAGACGGCAAGACAATATCGTGGCCCTGGGCTCCCCTCCCAGGCCTCTCTGGAGGCTCTGCCTATGCCGAGCGGGTCCCAGTGCAGGCAGCGCCCCAGCCCTGTGACTTCCCATAGATGCTTCCCGTGTGGATCAGTGAGGGGGTGAGGGGGTGATGATTCCAAAAATCCCAGCCTGAGAAGGGTGCTCAGAGACGCCTGCTTCAGCGCTGTGCAGAGGAGGGAAGCTGAGGTCGCGGGCCCCCTGCCCCAGAGCATGTGCCTCCTGCATTCCGCCCGCAATGGTGGCACCAAAGCACCTGCTCCAGGGAAAGGGGTTCCCTGCCACGGGGCGGGGGTGGGACGCAGCTGCCCGCGAGCCAGCTGGGGGCGATGCAGTGCAGGGCACCTCCGTTCTGTTCAGAGACAGCCACCTGGGCAGGCCTCCGCGTGGGGGAGGCAGCAGCTGGGGCTCGCCGAGGCCCGGCCGCCGGGCAGCCCAGGAGCTTCTCTCGCGGCCCCAGGAGCCAGGCGAGGCCCGTCCAGGTGCACAAGGGCCTTGGGAGGGAGCATCGTCCAGTTCAAATCAACCGGCATTTCCTGAGCACCCACTACATGCCAGACATCACCCTCATCCTGAGGGGGCAGAGTCATGGCCGACAAACTCCGTGACCCTGCGCTCAAAACTGGTGGTGTGGACCCCCTCGCCTGCCAGAGCTGCCATCCCCAAGGCGGGGACCCGTGTGACCTGACGAGTCGCCCTGCCTCACCGTCGCCCGGTCAGGCCCCTGGTGGCTTCTCACCCCTTTAGAAACATCTATGGATTCTGCTTCCTCCACCTCCACTGTCACCTCTCCAGGCAGAATGGAGGGCGCCTGGCCAGGGTGACAGACACCTCCTGACTGCTCTCCTGAGGCCACACAGGACACACGACAAGCCTCTTCCTCACTGTGGGTGGAGAGATCCTTGCTGGGCACTGCCCGAGGATACACTCCGAAGCCTGGAATCCTTGAAGGGCCCCCCCGCCCTGTCCCCTCGCTTCCCCAGCCCCCAGAACGGCTTTCGCCAATGGTGCATCCCCTTCCCTGGTGGCCTTCACCCCGCATTGGGCTCAGAGGCTGCCCCCCGGTCACTTGGCGGCTTTTTCATCCTATGCCATAAGCCAAACTTCAGTGGCTTCTATGTTAGTGTGCCCGCACGCAGTAGGCACACAGTAGTGTGGCGGAATGGCTGGAGAAACACCTCTCCCAGGACAGCGGAATGAGACCGGATGGGCGCAAATGCTTAGAGAAAGGTGCTACCCTGGAGAGAGAGACAGAATGCGGTTAACAGCCCCCGGTGAGGTGAGGCGGAGCGTGCCGGGTGGGACGGGGTGGGAGCAGCTTTCCCACGCTGCAGGCGGCTCCGTGCCGAGGGCTGGCTTTGTTCCCGCAGCGCACTGGGGTGGGAGGGGCCGCCGGGTGGGGGGAGGCTGGACTGCTCAGATAAGAAACTCATGGAATCCGGGCGGGCTGGAGGAGGGGAGGAGACGCGTGGTCGGGAGGGCGTCTTGGTGGAAAGGGGGCTGAGGCTGCAGCAGGGATCTGTGAGAGGTGGCCCGCAAGAAGTCCCAGAGGCAGCCACGGCCCCGGGCTTCGAAAGCCAGCTACAGTCCATGGGAACGGAATTAGCTGTCACCGCCGGGCCCAGCAGCCTGCTCCCCACGGCCCAGGGCCTGGTGCAGCGGGGACTCAGGTGAAGGTGCTGCCGCAGAGTGTGGGCTGGTGACCGGGCGGAGAGGGACACGTAGGCGGAGGGGGTGGGCTGCCAGCCCCGGGGAGCAGCCAGCCCCTCTGGGCCATAGAATCTGAGGCAGAGGCCGGGAGGGGACAGAACCTTCCCAGCCCCGCAGGGCAGGGGCTGTTAGATGCCGACGTAGGAGGCGGCCACGTCCGCCCCTAAACGTGTTCTGCGCCGCCCGCCACGTGGTGAGAAACCCCAGCCCAGAACTGCGTGCAGCCGTTTCACAATGGAGAGAGACTGACAGAGAAACCCTGATTTCTGGCTTCCCAAGGAGCATCATATGACCAGGCCTCGGGCCTGAGGCCCCATGTGACGGCCCTCACAGAGCTGCTGCCCCTGCTGACAGGCAGGCACCGGGCTCCTGGGGCCCACGGGCCCACGCTCGGTCACGGGACCTCCCAGGCCTGATGCGGGGCGGGGGGTTGAACGCCTGTATTGCCGGGCGGCCCTGGGCGGGGCCTGTCTGTGCCTGGGACTCGGGGAAGGGAAATGCTCTCCTCCTAAGGGCACGGGAGACTAGGGGAACCTGTTCCTGGGCCCCAGAGCTGCCAGAGGGGAGTTTGAGAAATCAGAACCCAGGAGGCCCTTTGAAGGCCAGGCGCACCCTGTAGGCAGACATGGCTGGAGACGGCGACCCTGGCGCCCTGGCTTCCTGTGGCCGGCTCCTGGACACCATGCCCAGGGACTGGACACCACGTGCAGGGACTGGACAGCGGCAGGTGCAGCGCCGGGGCCCGCTGGGAACCCGGGGGTCGGGGCCCTTGGGGGCAGGGCCTGCGTGGGGACGGCTGCGGAGCGTCTCGGTCGGGGGCATCTGGTGCCCTGAGCCGGGCACAGCCGGAGTGCCTGGCTCCCAGGGGCGCGGGGCCGGCAGGGAGTCAGTGCAGCTCTGGAACCAGGACCAGGGACTCGGGTCCGCCTGGCCGAGTTCACAAGCTCCCTGCCTCCAACCTGTATGTGAAGGGGGGCGGGGGGTCTCGTCTGTCCCCAAAGAGTCTGGGCAAGAGGCAGGGCAGGGGGCGGCCCCTTGAGTCCTACTGCCTCCCCTAGTCCACGCAAGGCCGGCAGGCAAGGGCGGCAGACAGCGGGACTGAGGCTCGGGAGGCCAGCATCAGAGTCAGCATGGACGCTGGAGCCAGGCCAGCAGAGCGGGAGAGAGACTGTCCCCAGCTCTGTGGCTCCTGCTGTCTTCTGTGACTTCTGCCTGGCCCACCCCGGCACTGCCCACTCTGAGGGGCACTTCTGCCCCCTGGTGGTGAGGCCTGGCGTTGCCCCAGATGACTGGCTTCCCGCTGGCTGGGAACACCCAGGGCGGGGCTTGACAGTGTGCCAGGCACAGGGAGCCACCTCATCCCTATTCCGGGACAGACGGGGAAGACGACACACCTGTCCCAGGAGGCGGTGAGGTGGGACAAGACAATTCTTGTCGTCATGGGGTGCATGGCAGCTGCCACACTAATGAGGACAGCCCACAGCCGCTACATTTTATTTATTTTAATCAGCATCATGAGCAGAGGCCACGCTGGCACAGTGCGGGGGAGGGGCGGGGCCTGCTAGGCCACCACCACTCAGGTGACCATCCCTCGCGGCCTCCTGCCCAGAGAACGCCGCCCGCACACTTGAGTTGGATACAGAAAAGGCCATCTGCCTGTGGGGCTGAGTCCCGGGGCCTCCACGCTGCTCTCCTGTTGTGGGTCGAGCTGTGGCTCCCCGAACACATGCTGAAGCCCTAACCCGTGTGCCCGTGAACGCAACCGTATTTGGACACAGATGCGATCAAGTTGAGATGAGATCACACTGGGGAAGGGTGGGCCCTGCATCCAGCGCCCGGTGTCCTGATAGGAAGGCCAGAGGGACACAGAGCTACAGAGATGCACAGGGAAGCTGGCCGTGCGGGGAGGGAGGCAGGGGCTGGAGGGGCGCAGACAGGCAGCCACCAGAAGCTGGAGGAGACAAGGAAGTGTGGCT